GTGAGTCCAGACTTGCTTTTCTAGCAGCCGCCTGGGAGGAGATTTCTTTCTGAGCTAATCAAATCAAATCATTGATCTTGTCAAAATTTCATGTTTGACCAGAAATTGGTCTGTTACAGGGGTTGGTCAGAGCAAGTCTAGGCTGAGACTCTATGCTGGGCTTTGCCTGTGAGCAGACAGATCCAGGGGGAAGTCAGCATTGGGAGAAAAGTGAGGATTGCATGTGGAGATCCCTGGTTCATTTTCCTCGAACATTGGTGGAGAGTGTGGCTCAGTGATTCAAGCTGAACGGACATCCCAGGAGGGCTGGAAGTGAGTGTGTGGCACTGCCAGGAGGGGACACAGCAAAGCTGGACTGCAGGGCTGCCATCACAGCATTGGGTTTTTATTCCCCTTGATCATGCACCTGCAGATTTCAGAAATGACATGCCAATATGTTGCTGCTTTCATTAAAACAGGTTGCTTTTATACCAGAAGTTTTGCAGGTCAGTCAGCTATCTCCATCGTTCTTCTGTCTGGGAAAATTGATCACTCCTCTGACCTTTTGCCAGCTTTTTCTTGGACTTTTTTTCATATACAAGAGGGGGAAATAGCCCACATATCCTCGTGCATCTTGCTGGTAAGGAGGCTGGCTGTCTTGAAGCAGATGGTCTTGGCATCTGTCTTGCTCAGAGTTTATAATTGTCCCCAGTAAGATGGGGCTGCTCAGTCTTTGCCCTCATTACAAAGAACAAACATTGAAATTACTGTGCATCCAGAAAAGTCCAAGATTGTCTTGGAAAAATCCAATTTTTAGTAGCAGGCAGATGTTCGGTACCCTGTTTAACACTGTGGTCCTTAACGGCTGATTTAAACAGGGAGCATTGCAGCTCGGGCAGCCTAGTAACATGATGTACTTTCCTTCTTTCTTCCACCTGGTTATTACAGAATCCTGCTCCCATTTGCTAGGAAGACTCCATATGACAGGCAGCCTGCACGAGGGGAACACGCGGAGAGCGGAGGAGGGAGGGGAGTTTTGCTTGGAACACTTTATAAACAGCATAACCTATACTCCAGAAAAAAAACAGTTGCCAGGAAGGTTGTTCCTCTGGAGACTACTTAAGGGACTTGTTACTGTAGGTTGACTTAACTAGCATACACTCAAAATTTTATGCCTCATATTTTGCAGGAAAACATGGCTTTGCTGTTAGGCTTGCTGATAAGCAAAACAGACACCACGGCTGTCTTGCAGCACTCAGAGAAAACTACTTGTGGCAGGGTTATGTTTACAGAAGCTGCTTGCAGAATTTGAAGCTTTCAGAAACAAGCTGCAACAACTTTCAGCGAGCCATGGACCTGTTAATTCACCAGGCACAGTGGAAGTTTGTCCTCAGACCTGTTTGTTGTCTTCCATGACAGAATATTTAAAATGTGTTAAATGCGCTGAGCCTTTCTGAGCCTCCTTTTGCCCTGCTGTGCTTCATGCCACTGCTCAAATGAAACATTGCTGAATTGGTCAAGAAAGTAAGAGGTTCTCATTAGGCCTTGGCATTTTTTTGGGTAATCTGGAAGATGTCAGGTCTAACTGAGCCTGCTTCTCTGGTTTGGGAAAGGAAGACAGCAACACACATCCTCTGGGGAGTCATTTCAGTAATAGGAACTTTATGGAGCTTCAAGACCACTGACAGTTACCCAGACGTAGTTCTGGGAGCTGCAAATCTTTCCCACTCTCCCAGCGAAATTGCCCCACAGTTGGTGTCTTGCTCCTATTCCCCAGCTAAACTCTTTAATTGTGTAATAAGTCTTTCCTTTTTTGGCGGACTTTAAACTCTTGTAAAATGTTATTAGGAGGGGGAAAAAAAAGAAAAATGCCCTGTCCTAGAAGAGTTGTAACAATTTAACCTCCCACCTCAGCTTGCTCCAGGCTGATTTCCCCAGGCAACCCCAAGCCTTTCCTCAGGACCCTTGTTCATATTTTGCTTTGGCACCCCCACACAGTCCTGCTCTTTCCTCATGTTCTCTCTCAAACAATAATCCCTTCCAATATTCCTTGGAGATAAAAAGGGAACTCAGACTCTCAAATCATTTGTCAGGCCAGACATCTACAGGAAAAAGAAGAAGGCCCATTCCCTGGAGTTTCCAAAACCATGCTGAGTTTTATCAAAAGAGCTTCCCTGCTGCAAACTCCTTTCTCTGCACTGATGCTGATGCTTTGGGAGTACCTTGGGGCAGCAGGACAAGTGGATTTTGTTTGCTTTTAGTCATTATTCCTCAAATATTAAACAAATTGAATAACATTATGGAATATTTCTTCAGATTCTGGATTCTCATGTTTCTTGGAGCAATTTTTCTTTCATGAAGAAGAAGTTGGAAGTCATTTCAGGGCCTCTCCTTGCCTGGCAAGTCAGTTTGAGAGGTCAGCATGGGGTTGTCTGGGAAAGTCCTTGTCCCTTTGTCTTGGCTGCTCCTGGCTGATATTGGTGGAGAGACACAGGTTCTTCTCTTAGGGCACAGCTGCTGCTGCTGCTGCCTCAGAGCTCTGACACCAGTCAGGCACCTGTCCCCTCCTCCCTGCAAGGGCAGTGGCACTCTCAGTGGTGGCTCCACTCTAGATATCTGCAGGTGGATGCAAGGGTGGGTTTCACATTGTTTGTGATTGATCCAGAAATGGAATTTCAAATATAGAGTGGGGGGATACCAGCTAAGACACTGAAGCATTTTCATTACTTGCAGTTTTGTACTGTGTATACCACTGCACTTCCCTTCAGAAAACTGCTTAAACTCAAAGATGTATGTTGGTAATCCACCAAAAAGAGCAGGGATGTGGCAGTGGTGCTCACATTTGAGTCATCCCTTGCAGGCAGTGCACAGCAGGCTCCTGCCCTCCCTGTGCAAGGTGCTGCCTACTGGGATAAGGGATGTAACATGGGCTGTCTGCAAAAGTCTCCTTCTGAAGCAGGTAAAACTCTTTCCATGAGGTCAAACTGCACCATGAACAGGGACTTCTCTTTAAGTGCAGAGACCCTTTCATTACTGCAGGTGGTTCCCTTCAAGGGCCAAGCTTGCTCTGGAGATGCTGCCCCTGAAATCCAGTGGAGGGGGGCAGGTATAAATATCTCTGAATGTAGGTCAGCTCTGAACTTCCACTGCCACTAAACCAGGTCTCTACTGACTGCAATTAAATGTCACATTGTGTTAACAAGCAGGAAAAAATCAAGAGTGATTTCCTACTGAATAACCCTGAGTATCCCGTCAAGGACAAGGGAGCAGCTAATGAAGCTCATGAAATCAAAGTTTTGTAATGAACCAGATGGTCTCAGCTGTTGAATTATTCACCAGAGAGAATGAGTGCCATTTCTTCAGGTGTGCTACTGGGTGATATGTCTTCTTGGCATCTGCCAAGAAAGGCCAGACATATGTTCCCTTTACGCTTTCTTTGTTCTTTCACAGTTGAGAGGCGCTCGAAGAACAACCTTTCACAGTCACAATGGGATCAAAACCTGGGGCCAGAAGTACATGCAATAAATGACAGGTTTTGGAATGCAGCAGGAGGTCAGACCTTTGTTTAGGCAAATTTTGGAACCTCCAAGGAAGCTAGTGTGACATCCAGAAAAGGCCCAGTTTTCCTGGAGGAGTGTTTAAGTGTTCTAACAAATTCCCCTCTGTGCTGTCATGGGCTCGCCATGGAAAGTTCATGTTGCATTATCAGCTGGGATAGTTTGAGGGGCATCTGTTCTCTTCATTTTCACCTGCTTATGGACAGCATCTGTAAGTTTTGATTCACAAATGTGGTTTATAAATCACTATGAGCCTGTCTGAAAGAGAAATGCCCTCACCCCCACAAAAGGATTTGTGCAAGTAGAATTGCCCCTACCCCTGGGTCATCTCTGTGAGGATCCACTTTAGACCAACCTGAAACATCTCCTGGTGGAGTTGTCCAACTGATGCAATAATGGCTGCACATCAGGAACAAGACCTGTCATCACATCTTTCTTAGGTGGGGTTGGCACTGGCTGTGGCCACCATGAGTGGCCTGAGGAGGCTCCTGGGCTGGAAGCAGGGGACTGGCTGCTCAGGAGAGCTGATGCACCTGCCTGCAGGGAGGGTGGGGGGATGCCCAGTGCACCTGGGGACAGCAGAGCTGGGCAATGCCTGTAATGGTGATGCTGAGTAGGTCTGGGGCTGAGTCTGACTTCCTTCATGGCCATGCAGTTCCCAGTCTCCAGGCTGTGGCTACAAGGGCAGAATGCCCTGTCCACACTGGTATTAATGGTGTTCTCTGTACCTAGCCCTTGAGGAAGGGGGAAGCTGTGGTGATTCCTGTGCAGGTGTGATCTGGGAAGAGTTGTGGAGGGCAACACTGGCCTGTGGTTACTGCATGGAGAGGATCTCTGGCAGGCCAGGGGCAGTTGTGCCTGGGTATGGCAGTGGGTAGACACAGACCCCACACAACACCCCTCAGCAGCAGCCTGTCCACTGCAGCAGCCAGCCAGCACTGCCCTGTGTCCCTGGGCACACACCCAGCAGCTCAGCCATCAGGAGACAGGAACTGAATTCATTTAAAGGTCTCTCCTATAGGTAAAAGAGATTAATAAAAGAGAAGGGGTAAGGGCATAAAGCAAGACCTCAGAAAGGAAGGCTGTAACTCTGCTCTAAGAGATGTGAAGTAGAAAAGCACGGAGTGCATTAAATAAGCACTGTTCATTTTCTCCTATAATATCACATAACTACCTCCAGAATGATAAATGGCTTTTATCTACCCTGTATTAGAGATAAGATTTTCTTTAAAATTACCATAGTTATTGGAATTTTTTGGCCAAAGACGTATTTGCTGTAGCCTGAAGTGTTTCTGATACTACCTGGCAATCCCAAGCAAGTGATTACCTGAGGGTTTATTAATCTCCCTCACTAACCAAAGAACCAGGATGGACCTCTACTCCACTTCTTTAATTTGCATATCACTATACTACTTCAGGGAAATAAATGATGGAAGACGTGCTTCTGTTTTGAATTTTGACATCTGAGAGAGGTCATGTAATTTATTTTTTAGCCTCTTTCTATTGGTTTCTTAAACAAATGATAATAAGCTACTAGGCTACTTACTCTAATACTAGTTAGGAACAAAAACCTGCACAGTGCAGGAATCCATATTTTTATACTTCATTAACAAATCAGGACTTGCAGCTGGACTTTTGCCACCCCATTATTTGAAAAATGGGAGTTGAGCCATTCTGCAGTGCAGCGAGCATGGCCATTCCAACACACCAGATATTAGTTTAGGAAACCCTGGCAGCCTCCTGCATTTTGATGAATCTCCTCGTGGCTCTGCATCATTAAACAACTTCAGTACTTAATGTATGAGGCTTGTAGCAAGGCTGGCTCTCACAAAGGCATTTCTTACTCGTTTTCCAGAGGTTGTGGATCTCTTGGATTGTGCATTACCTGGTTCAGGGATGGCAATAGGTAGCTCAGCCCTGAGGAGAGTGCTGTGCTCAACGTCTTGGACATGGGGAATTGTACACATCTGTATCAGGTCATCTTGGTTTTGATGCAGAGCTGAGGACACGGTGGGCGCCCACACTGCCCTGCCCTGGGTGTCTGCAAAGCCCTGGCCCAGGTGGGATGTGCAGGGGCAGAAACAGGAGCTACTTTTATAGAATCATAGAATATCTCAAGTTGGAAGGGATCAAATGAAGATCATCAAGACCAACTCGTTGCTCCTCACAGGATCTAAAACTAAACCAGGTTAGTAAGAGAGTCATGCAGAGATTGCCTGAACTCTGACAGGCTTGGTGCCATGACCACTTCCCTGGGAAGCCTGTTCCAGTGACTGGCCACCTTCTGGGGTAAAGAACCTTTTCCTCATAACCCATCTGAACTTCCACTAAAACAGTTTAATTCCATTTTTTTAATTCCATTTTTTCATGTCCTGACATGGTGACTGGAGAGAAGAGATCAGGATCTCCCCCTCCACCACTTCCCTTGAGGAAGCTGCAGACTTGGAGAAGTTGGAAACCAAAGGCAGTTAAAAAGCCCACATGCAAAAGACATGAAAGTGGTGACATCTTGTATTTTAATGAAAAGTTTAAGATCAAAATTCGTCTAAAGATAAGAAAAAATCCAACCTGCTATATATTTTTATCTCCCCCAATTTCTTAGCTCTTTGGGGAATGTCAAAGGCTCCCAGGGGCACTGCAGACAATTCCAGTGTGCAGAACTCCAGCATAGCTGCAGTCCAGGGCACCACCTCTGCCAGCATCAGTGCAGATGCAGGGTCTGGCCTCCTTATGCCAGGGAGAGGCAAGGTGGTGAGGCACAGAACTGGAAAAGGCACCAGGAAATATTCAACTAAACCCCAAACCAAAAAAGACCAGGTTGCACTTTTGTCTCTTACATGTATCTCACTAGATCAAAAACCACTTGCTGCAGCCATTGTAGGACTATTTTCAATCAAGCTGTTCTTTGAGCAGATGAACTAGGGAAGCCCTGTCTTCTGTGGCTGAAGACTCTTGAGGATGAGGGAGTTCTGGCAGCAGCTTATCCAGCAGCTGAATGTCTCTGTCCCTTTGTCTCCCATGTCAGAAGCATTGAAGTCACTTTCTGCAGGCAGACTGCCTTAAAAAACATAAGTCAGGGCATTCAGAAGTTGCCCAAAGAAATAGGTAGGAACTTAGTTTGGTGGTGGTTTCTGTCTCTGCCAAATTCAGCTGGAATTTGCCAGTGGGTTCAAGAACATTCTGTTCTTGCCTAAAGTTTGTTCCATAGGAAACAAGGCCTCAGTAAAAAAGGTGCAAATCAAAGATGATCACTTTACAGAGAAGTAACACTTGACACTTTCTTAAAAAGACACCTCATCCCAAGCACTCTCCTGCCCAAGGGCTGGTCCAGCTCAGTCAGCAGAGCTTCCCAGGGCAGCTCCAGAGGGACGCTCTCCTTGCTGGCATGTTCAGGCATGGGGCAGCCTGGAAAAGCCATGCTCTCATGCTCCCCTAGACAAACCTTTACAGAAACCTCTGTCCTCAATGGGACAATGTACCCACTGGGAAATAAATTGCTACACAATCTATCTTCCCCTATTGCCAGTTCTTTTGACAACATATAAATATAAAAGCCAGTTCATTTTGTTAGCAGTCACGGAGTGCATATTGAGCAACTTTAGCCAGTGACACCAAAATCCTCTTCAATAACGCTCCGGGACCAGATGGTTTGCAATCACACATCATAAACTCCTTTCTGCTATTTCCATCTTGTATTTACCCAGCTCAGTGTGTAACAGCTACTGGCGTTGAAGGCTTCCTTTTTCAGAAACATCTGTGGTTTTGATAAGTCTTTGTAGGTATGGAAAAGCCTGAAGTCCTTGAGCTCCAGCTCTCGGAGCAGGCTGTACCAGTACCGCACCACGGTGCTGTCATTGCCACTGACCTCAAACCCAGGCCAGTGCATGTGCACCTCAAAGACCAGCTGTCCTATCTGCTCAACAACATCTTCCAGAATCAGGTTTTCCAAAATTTTCCACTCGGCGCTCTCCACGTCTGCCTTGAGGACGTCAATCTGCAACAAAAGCACCATTACTATGTGAAAACAAGAAACTTTGCAGTTATATAACATGTGAGGCTAGGGTTGGCCATTTTTCAATACACATAGATTTTCATTTCATATTAAAAAAATAAATCAAAAAGTCTCAGAGGACTAACACAGCAGTACACAGAGTTTCATGCTGGACTGTTCATAGCCCTTTTCCTCCTGCCTCCAGCTCAGGGTCAAACAGCTATGTATTTCAAAATCCTCCTATAATCAAAGCACGTAACTGGTTCCTTCACAATTCTTGGGTGGCATCACAGCTATGAAAAAAATAAACAGAACCAAAGGACAGACCCAAACCCACTAACAGGAATTACCTGCACCATAGCTGAGTAGGGTGCTCATGAGCCATATGCTACATGCATCACACAAGTGCAAGAGAAGAGCAAAGCAAAAAATGAACGCTGTGAGCAGCTCAGGTGATCAGCTGCCCTTGGCCAAGCTGCTGGCTGCAGCTTTGCAGGCATTGCTACAGATGCTGAGAGAGGAGGACCAAAACAAAGGATAACTATGCAAAGAGTCTTCAGGATTTTAAGGGCAGCTCCTCCAAAGGAAAAGGCACAGCAGAAAAGAAGACATGAAGGTGTTTGAAAGGAATAACAGACCCAACAGATAAGTACCATGTTCTAGTTTTGGACCATTATTTAATTTTGTAGTGAGATATTCAGCAATCCAGCTTCTCACAGCTGTGGGTTGACTTTGTTTGGAGATTAGCTGGGGGAGGCAAGCTGATGCTTTAACATAAAAAGAGCATTTCATCACCATTTCACACCTAATAGAAAACAATGACCACAGCGCAGCAGTGGTCGCAAGCTGCAGAGCTCAGCTTGTTTTCCAGAGCCCAGCAGGGGAAAGTCCTACACCATGAGAGTAGGGTTTGCCTGTGCCAGTTCCACCTGAGCTGATGCTTCTGCCCATCTGCTCGCACTCAAGATGGGTTTGGAGTGAAAAACTGAAGACTTTATATAGTCAAGAATTCCAATTTAAAAAAAAAAAAAAAGGTGGGGGAAATTAAAAAAGAAAAATCCCCAAAAATCAAACCAGGAAAAAAAAAAAACCAAAATGAAACCAACAAAACCCCCAGATTCTCTCTGGCACTCTACCTTAACCACTTGTGGCAATATCAAAAAAGGCACCTGTGCAGGTATAGGAGAGAAATTTGGGCAGGTAATTTAAAAGCACTTCCAAGGCAGCTGTTCTCCTGAGCTGCCCATGCCAGGGCAGCTGCTGATGCCATGGATGCCATGTCCCATCTGTGGGGTTCTGCCCTGGGCACAGGGCAGGGCTTGTGCTGTGAGCACCTCTCCAGCCCAACCAGAGCTGTGCTTTGCATGGGCCATGGCCAAGAAACCACAGGGCCATGGCAAGGGGTGGCCACATCCTCCTTCCCTGGTCCCATGGATGGCTGCCTGGAGGGGCCAGGGGCTGTGGTGCTGGGGTGCAGGGCTCACAGCCACGTCAGCCCTCCTCAGGGGCTGTGCCCCAGCACTGTGGATGGGCATGGCATGGCATGGCATGGCATGGCAGGAATCTGTAGGTGCTGGACACTTGCCCATTCTGATCTCCGTCTGTAAAACAAGGGTGGCAATCACTGAACAGGGGCTGAGCGCATGAAGGGCTGTGGGACTTGCATGGAACAAGCTGCAAAACAGCTGGAAACAAAACACCACATTTTCAGAGCAGGACTTGAATGAGCTCCATGGTCACAGAGTGAATCCTAACAAGCCAAGCCACCACTTGTGTGCTCATTAAGAAGGCATTGTGCCTCCTTCACTCTGTAGGAGGCAGGGGGCCAGTGGAAAATGACCAAGGGACTGTGGAATTAAAGCCCATATTGTGGTATGTGCCCATGGGGAGCAGAAAGGAAGGCTGCACAGACAACCTTAGCTCTGGTATTTCCTAACTTGCCCCCCTAACAAAGGGCCTGTCAGTCTGTCTGTCCGCGGGTCAGTGAAACAGTTGAACGCAGCGCTCCTTTGGGTTCAAGGGGAGGCTGAATTTAAATTAAGCAGCTCATGACATTTCAGCTGGTGGGTGAGCCCACTTGTTCTCCTTCATACATTTAAATTGGTTATTTATTTTGCAAATGCCAACTCACATCTCTACCTGCAGTGCAGTTTCACAGGCAGCTGGTTCCACATGGGTGCAACCACCACAGGGTTCACACTGCCACACTTAACAAACCACAGATTTTTATCTCTGGGAGACTTATGTAACTTTGAAAGCAGACAAATTATTCAAACCCTTTTTTTTTTCGGGGGGGAGGGGGTGGATGGATAGGGGAAAAAATGTTTCTAGGCATTTGGTTTTGTTTTCCCATGATCTTACTTTATGGCATCAGTAGGACATCTTTTCCCATGGTAATGTTTCCAGTCCTTCAGGTTTGTTTGTTTTTCTCTCTTGACACTAACTGCTGCTCTGGCTGCTCAGCAGGCACTCTGCATGCTCTGTGCTGTATTTGCAAAACTGATCTTAAAAGTGGCTGGTAACCAGTGTTTTGGTAGGAGAAAATGAGTTACCACAATAACAGCTTGAACACACAATGAAATAACCAGGAAAGAAACACGGGCTAGTGGAGATGTGTTGCATACACAAAGCAGAGGGTCTTTGTTGCTCTTTGTGCCCTGCACTGCACAGAAACCTGGAGGGAGGAAGGTACCTGTCTCAACCCACCAAATTTCATGACTGCCTTCCAGGCAAGGTGTCTCTTTCTGCCCAGATTCTCCAGTGCATACCATGGATAGTGCAAAATGAATGGCAGAACAGCTCTGTTTAGGCATATCTGAGCAAATTACCAGCATCCTGCTAACACCAAATGCAAGTTTTGTGATGATTAGACAGCTCAGGAGATATTTACCATTGGTGATAAGCAGCACACTACCGATAAGAAATGCACTACCACCTTCCAGTTGCCTTGATCCAAAGTGTCAGTGAAAGGATTAGTGGGCAAATCTATAAATTCAGAGCTCTAATTCACCCGGGAGCACAGCTGGAGTCTGCTGCTGTGAATAAATCCTGGAGGGCAAAGATCTACAGTGCCTGAAGGTAAAGTATGGCAGTGAGTTTCAAACACTCACAAAGGCTGGTTCCTCTTATCTTCCACAAATCCTATTATCCTCCATGAACTAACTAGGTTATCACAGAAAAGTTAAAAACGTGGATTTTAGAATGTTTTCTCAGTTTAGCTCCCTTGAAAACGCACTGCAGCATTGCACCACTTACACTTGGAGGAAAAAGAAAAAAAAGGGGGCCATGCTCGTGCACAACCAAGCACATAAAACAGCTGAAAAATTGTGTTTTGCTTAGTGAAGGTCAACATACACTGTATGAAGGCTCATTTCTTCTTTTTAGGGTAATGACTTGTTACAAGTGTGCATCATTTCCTAAAGCAGAGATCTGAGCTCTGTTCACCTTGGCCGCTTTTGAAACACCAGGGTTAACGGGGATTTCAGGCTGTGCTGCCCCGTGGGCATCATTTAAAGCTCCCCGTGGAGAAGAGTCAATTGAGAGTGAGTAGCTGGAGGAAGCAATTTAGCTGTATTACTTCCAGCATGAGCTCAGCATGTGGAAGTGGAAGCCAGGAAAGGCAAAACCAGCAAATGCAAGTCAGGTACAGAGGATCCCTGTTCTGTGGGAGCAGGTCTGCAGTGCAAGCTTGGGAGGAGGGAGAGGAGAGCTGGCTACAGCTTTCAGGCACAGGGACAGATCTCAGAACCACCTCAGCCTCCTGAACTGCAGGGCTGCTCCCACAGTGCAACAGAAAAATATTCCTCCACTCCCTGTGATACCTGGTTACCATTCTGACATCAGCTGTACAGCAAGAAAAAGTCTGCTGGCTTGTGCATCAGTTTTCCCCCTCTTTCCCTAAATACAATTCTCTGTTCTCAGAAAACAAAACTCTAGAGAAAGTTGCTTAATTTACATTTTGATAGCATGTGTTTGCAGGTAACAGCAGGTGCTTGGGTGTGTTTTGTTTAACTGTAACTTCCCTCTTATCCTTTTCCCACATGCAGATTTTCAGCATACTTCCCTCATTTTCTTTCCTCTCAAAATACATCCACAGCCTGTCCTCACCAGCAGGAGATGGCTTGGATGTAAAGTCCCTTTCCTTTCATTTCCTTTTATTCTTAGTGAAGGCTGTAATTGATGGCAGCCAGGATGCCACAGAGCCTAAAAGCAAATTATGCTCCCAGCAGCTTGTGACTGTCTCTTCCCATGCTCCCTGAGAGCAGTGGGAAGGGGAAACATCCTGATTCTCTCTGAGCCATCTGCTGGGGACACCAGGACTGCTGGGGGCCTGGCCAGAGCAGCACGGGTGCCGAAATCGGGAGGAAAGTCAATCACGGCTGAGCAGCGATGTACAGCCCCAACCAGCAGCACTTCTCTCTCAAATGACTGCCCTTCCTTCCTGCTCACATTTACACCTCTCTTGGTGGTCTGGACAGCCAGTTTCAAATTGGCTCTGGAACAAATGTGTCATTTGAGATTATCCACTCCCAGTGTGACAGAACGGGCACGTCTTCAAGAATCTGCTTAAGGCATCAAAGTCACAAAGCTGATTTGTGCAGTTGGGTGCTTACAGGGCCTTTGGTCTTTTTTTACAGTAAAGGGCAACTGTCCAGTTGTAGTTACTCATACAATATCCACATCACTGAAACAGAAAGCCTGCAGTGAGTGCAGGCAAGCTTCATACCTCTGCTCTCATCACTGATTCTCCACAGCCTCACAAGTGGCAGTCTGTTCTCCCAGTTCTGGGGATGTACTTCCATGAACCCATTACACAGCAGGAGCAGGATATTAAGTAATACTATGTTTGCTACTTAAATCAGAGAAAATGTTTCAAAATAATATTTTAAAAACTTATTTAACTTTCTCACAGCCAACTATCAGTGCAGGAACAGATTGCCAGATGCAGTAATGGCCCCAGACAAATGCACCCATCCAGGAAGCCCACCCAGCACAGGCCAGAG